TATAATCAACAGTTTTGCCGGTAAAAATAAATGTATGAAGAAAAAAAATATTTTTTGCCTAAAATATGAAATTTTTTTATTTTTCAAATTCATAAAAAATCCAAAACGGAAAAAAGGCAAGTCGTATTACTTTCACGCAAAGTCACATAACCTTTAAGCAAAATGAGACATAGATCATGAAAATCAATGGGGCGGTGACAATTTCCCCTATATGATAGTTACTAACTTCAAATCGATATATCTCGATTCCTAGACGTGACCCAGCGAAACGCCGGGCCACGTATAACTTGTTTTTGACCGATATAACATTTCCCGTTGGTTTCATCCCATCCCGATTTTGACTGACGCATAGTGTTATTGAATCATGCTGGTGATGGAGATCTCAATCAAGTACTTCTATAAACTTTTTAAGAGCAATATGAAAAACGTGATGTAAACATTTGTGTACATGTGATCTTCCGTCTTCCTCCAACTTATGGCCATATTTAGTGGTCTCTTTTTAGCTGCTCCAATTCGTTATGGGATTAAACTTAAATATTTATTATCTACTTCCAATAGAATACACACAAATTAATTTATCTAAGAATTTCGGGAATAAAAAATTAAAATCAAAAAAATATATTTTATAAATGCACTTTTAACCTGCTGTTATATCATTTAACAACATCTGTGTTTAGATGTGGCCGCCTTGTTTCAGTTTGGCGACGAGTGCATCTACATCAGGTACCAAAGCACCAGACTGGCGCACAGGCGCACAGTGGTTCGGATCGCAAATCTAGCTGGACGAAACTATTTAAACAAATACTCGTTGATGGATCTTTACACCACTTCTTACCTAGGGGATTTTTGGGTCGCTGATTACGAATCTGAAGTCACTTATCAAAAATTCAAAATGGCGGATCCAATATGGCGGACGAAAGTTAAAAAAAAATCGGTAGATTTCTATGAAACTGGGTATCTGGGGGTTTTCTGGGTCGCTGATTACATATCTAAAGTCATTTACCAAAAATTCAAAATGGCGGATCCAATATGGCGGACGAAAATTTAAAAAAATCGGTAGATTTCTATGTAACTGGGTATCTGGGGGTTTTCTGGGTTGCTGACTACGAATCTAAAGTCATTTACTTAATTTACTTTATTTACTTCGGAACGAGCATTTTCATCAGATATTTCTTTCAATTTACTAATCACATAATCACGGACACCTTGTTGTCTTTTAGAAGTTTCAGCAACACTTCTCCAAATGTCAAACAACTCACTTCTTAAGATTTTCTTTACCATGACTAAAATTTAAGATCACAGCAAGAAACACAAATAAATTTCAGAAAAAAATTTATAACAGCGCTTAAAGATTTCCATGCCTGTTGTATAATTTTTTAATTTCAGAAAGCAGAAAATTCGCGAGTTACTATTTTTTTTAACTCTTACATAACCAAAGTTTTTATAACTCCAATTATTTTTCTGTTTTAACACACAGTGTAAGTGTAATTTTTTGTTTATAGTCAATTTGCAATTATGCAAATATCTGTGAGTGCAATTAGCAATCTTTTAAGTTAAATTTCAGCTTTTAAAATAGAGTTCTCAAATAGGCGGCGTTGACTTACCTTTTTTCGTTTGTTTTCATATGTTAATGCTTTAATAAATACAATTTCTATTTGAATGTATTGTCAGGAATGTATTCCAAGTACCATTAAGTATTTTAAAAACAAAAAAACTTTGACTTTCGTCCAGCTAGATCTGCTATCCGAACCACTGTGAGGCGGCTCCTCAACAGAAACAATCTCGATGCGTGGTGTTGTATCGACTCCCAAATCCTTTGGCGTGGTTTTCTTTAATGACTTCTTCTTTGACTTCATATTTGGCAACGTTGCATAACGTGGTGTATTCAGGCGCAAATCGGCGCTCAGCACTGCTGGGATCTTAGTTTTAATAGTCTCTAGACCACCATCGATTTCACGTGTGATAGTCAAGCCAGCATCTGTCTTTTCTACTTTATTACAGAAAGTACCCTGCGGCCAATCTAAGACGGCAGCGGTCATTTGTGCTGTCTGGTTACTATCATCATCAATTAACCAACGCAAAATTTGCAAATGTGTTAGTAAGATAAATGAGAATGTGTTAGTTTCCATCACACAATTCTTGTAGGGTAGTTAACGGCAGGAATAACAGTGTTAGATCCCTAATGAGAGAATATTAGGGCTGTTCATTAAATTGTGCAAATATTTATATTTAAAGGAAATAATATTCACTTAAACAAACATTTAACTTAAAGGCAATTTATTTGAAGCAAGTTAAAAGAAGCAATGGCAGAATATCTGTTTGTGTATACATTCATTTGTCAGTGCTACCAAACCGTAATGCCAAATTATCAGTGACAACCCAAACATAGCAGACCATAAATTGAACCAGTAGTGAGATTCCCATTTTTCTTAACGACAATATTCGCATCGTTAGCTAGCAATTCTCAGGCACACTTTTAGCGAATATTGTCGGTAGCTTTGAACGTTGTCTAACGAAATTTGTCGATAGCCTAGCTACGAATATTTTGTCGTTGAAAAGCCTAACGGTAATATTCTTTTAAGTTTTAATTAAGAAATATTAGGCAAAATTCATCGGTAATTTATCACATATAGATGTGCCTTTTATTATTATTCTTTTTATTTATTACACTGTGCAAGTTGAAAACATAGGCAAAGGTTTTGATAGTTGATCTCACATTCCCACGACAGCCGGTTCTACGTACCGGAATGACTCGGGTTTTACCCGACCAAGGGCGGTTGTTTCGGCGATCTAACCTCGTTTAGATCGGCGAAGTATCTCGTAAGTTGTTCGTCCATAGGGCTACATTTGCTACGTATTTTTCTGCTCAGGGCTGGCATCGAGTCAAACCCAGGGCTAGAAACCTACACCTGCTGTGTATGCCAGAGACGACTACACCACAACTCCACCTCAGTCAAGTGCAATGCTTGCGACGGGTGGAGTCACCTCAGGACTACGCACCCATCGGCAGTGGACCACATACCACATCATTTGTGGCCCCCTGCTGATCAACAGGAGCAGCCTTCACGGCTAACCCCAGTCCACCTGAGCAGCTCAACACAAACACCACAGCACCACAACACAACAACCCAATAGACCACACCACAACCACGACAGACCACACAACAGATACAACCGCACCACCACACACAAGCCGCCGCCGTCAACTGGTTCGTCCTACAATCAGACTAGGATATTCCGTAACGTGACATCAGTCAAGTGCAACACCTGCCTTGGCTGGTGCCACTTTACGGCATGTTCAGGTCTGAGCACCACGCGAGATTAGACGAGGAACTTCGAGGGCCCGTGTTGCGCTGCTCGGTCGCAAACCCCAATTGCGACGCCACCCACTACCACACAGGGCGGCAACTTTCACAGAAGCGCACACAGCCAATGGCGGCAAGGCTACACACATCCCTCATACCTCGCATAACAACAAGTCTCTCAAACCACATGAAGCTCCTTCAATTTAACTGCAACGGACTTCAGAGCAGGATCGATGAGATAACCGCCCTCATGGGAAGGCATGGTATATTGACAGCTGCGGTCCAAGAGACAAAGTTGCACAGCAATTCAACATTGTTGAACTGTGCCGGGTACAACGTGCACCGTCGAGATCGCGAGCGAGATAACGGTGGTGGCTTAGCATTCATCTTGCACCACACCGTGCAGTATCGTCTTATTGAAGCAGACATCGACCGCAGAGATACCACCCTAGAATGTCAGGGCATTGCTATCCGGTCAGGCGATGTTGATCTCGAAATATTTAACGTTTACATACCCCCTGTCACCAGCTGCCTGGCAGGATATCACCCTGATATAAGTTCGCTCCTCAGAAGTAAAAACCGTATGGTAGTAGGTGACTTTAATGCGTACCACGATCTTTGGCATTCAAGCTTGTCAAAAGATCGTAGGGGAACAGACTTGGCTGAGCAGATAGACGACTCGACATCCTGCACCATGACCGACGACGAACCCACCAGGATTACGGGCAGCTGCTGCAGCTCGCCAGACATAACAATTGTTGTTGTTGTAGCGGCTACAACAACCCCGCCCAGATCGGTTCATATCTCAGTCGTTGCCGTAAGTTCCATTAACGGCAGCCCTAAGAAGCGTGCAGCCTCAATGAGGTCGGTCCACAGGGCCAAAGGCGTTAGGGTTGTAGGGTTTTCCGGGCATACGAAGAGATGCTTCGGGTCATGAGGTGTCTTTCCGCATGCCGGACACTCATTCTGCACATCTGCGTTTAGTCTGCTCAGGTATGTGTTTAACCTGCTGCAGTAGCCAGTGCGAAGTTGGGCTATTGTGGTTCTTGTCTCTCGTGGCAGATGAAGCTCCGTCTCGTCTATGTCCGGTGGTTGTGCTCCTAGAACAGCATTCACAGGTCTGGAGTCTACGTAACTCGAGACTGACTCCCTGTGAATGCCGTTCAGGGCTTGTCGATATGCTGACGGGTCCAGAGGCTGTTTAATGAACCTGTGGACTTCGTCCGTCAGTTTGTACAGATGCCTTCCAGACGTGCCTGGGCGAGGGCTCTTCTGCAAGCAGCTGCCAATTCGGGTGACCACGTCTATGGCTCCCGACAAGGAACTGCTTGCAGAGCATGGCGTTATGCTCCTTGACCGGGAGCAATTTCGACTCGTCGTGTAGGTGGTGTTCAGGCGACAGCAGAAGGCATCCAGTCGGTGTCCGTAGTACGGTGTTTTGTGTTGTCTGCAGCTTCATCCACTGCGTCCTACTAGTCCCCGGCGACCACACTGGTGCTGCGTAATTTAAAACCGGCCGGCCTATTGCCTTGTATGTTGCCAGCAACGTTTCTTTATCTTTGCCCCAAGTACTGCCGGCTAGCGACTTGAGGACCTTGTTGCGTCTCTGTAGTTTGTTGACAATAGCGGTTGTGTGCGCAGAGAAGGAGAGCAGACTGTCGAAAGTTACTCCCAGTATTTTGGGTTTATCGGAATTGGTGTATCATCGACATGAATCCCCAGCGGAAGCCTGACCTCCTTCGTCCAGGTGGTGAACAAGGTCGCAGAGGATTTCGTAGGGGAGAGGGTTAGGCTCCTTGCAGTGAAGAAGCGAGAAACCTCGGAGATACCCGTTTACTTTCGAACACAAGTCATCAATTTCATTCCCTGTCGCCATTATCGAGCAATCGTCGGCGTAGGAGACAATCGAGACTCCCTCTGGTGGTTGAGGGAGCTTTGGAATGTAAAAGTTAAACAGTAGCGGGGAAAAGACACCAGCCTGTGGAACCCCCTTTTTAATTTTTCTAAGTTTGCTCGATTAGTCTCTAAACATTACCGACCAGTGTCGACCACTTAGATAATTCGCCGACCACCGTTTGAGCCTCTGTGGGAGAAACGCCTTTGACAGGTCCAACGCTACTAGAATAATTCTCTCACAGGGACGGTTGCGGTTAAGGCCACGTGTTATCTGAGTGTTTATGGCGTTAAGTGCTCTTGTTGTACTATGCACTTTACGGAAACCATGCTGATGCTTCGCTGGGGTCAGGTGGTTTGTGAAATACGGGAGCAGCAAGGCCTCTAATGTCTTCGCTACCGGGGAAAGGAGTGTTATCGGTCGATAAGAATCTCCTTTGTTGGCTGGTTACCCCGGTTTGAGCAGTGGGACAACTCTCCCCACCTTCCAGATGTCTGGGATGATGAGAGTGGCCATAGACATTTTGAGGACCTCCGTTAGGTACGCTACTCCCGCAAGAGCCAAATTTTTCAGCATCAATATGCATATTCCGTCGGGACCCATGGCTTTGGAGGCTTTCGCCTTCCCGATGGCCACCTGAACTTCACCGCTGGTGAAAGCAAGGGGGGCACAAGTTGTTGGCAGTTTGTGCAGCCTTCTGGTCACTCGACGCTTGGCTTTGTCCACCGGAGGATGCAGTATGAACTGCCGGCTAAAATAGCTCGCGCATCGCACCGGGTCCGACGAAGCATGGTCGCCGAGAGAAATTTCAAGCCTGTCGTCGTGCTTCGTCGGATTGGACACTGACCTCATGGTTGACCAAAGCTTACTCGCACCAGAGGAGAAGTTACAGATCTTCAGATGCTCTTTCCACTTCTTCCGCTTATGTACGTTCACTAGTTGCCGAATCTCCGCGTTGAGATCCCTGATAGGGGATTTCCGGGATCGGCCTGACGAAGGCTGTCACGCTCGTCGGCTAGAACAGCCGCTTCAGCAGGGAAATTCGGACGTGGGTCCGTAATGCATCCTGCCGGTACGAAGCGAGCTGCAGCAGCAGTGACAACCCTGCAGAACTTACGTTCACCAAGGTGGACGTCGGTTGGTGTGGGGAGCGCAGTGAAGGTGCTCTCAATAAATTCCGCGAGGCCTTTCCAATCAGCTTTAGAAAAGTTGATATAGGTCCGGAGATGACTATGGGCAGATGGTCTGATGCCAAAGTCAGCATAGGTCGCCATGATACGCTATTTATCAGACCAGCGCTGACTATTGTTATGTCTGGCGAGCTGCAGCAGCTGTCCATAATCCTGGTGGATGCGTCGTCGTTCATTGTGCAGAATGTCGAATCGTCTATATGCTCAGCCAAGTCTGTTCCCCTACGATCGTTTGACAGGCTTCAGTGCCAAAGATCGTGGTGCGCATTGAAGTCACCTACTACCATACGGTTTTCACCTCTGAGGAGCGCACCTATGTCAGGGTGATATCCTGCCGGGCAGCAAGTGACAGGGGGTAGGTACACATTAAATATTTCGAGCTAAACATCGCCTGACCGGATAGCAATGCCCTGACATTCTAGGGTGGTATCCCTGCGGTCGATGTCTGCTTCAATAATCCGATACTGCACGGTGTGGTGCGTGATAATAGCTAAGCCACCACCATTATCTCGCTCGCGATCTCGACGGTGCACGTTGTACCCGGCACAATTCAACAATGTTATATAAATCTGGGTCTTTCCGGTTACGTAGACCCGACTGTCGTGGCAGTGGGTGGCACCGCAGTTGGGGTTTGCGGCCGAGCAGCGCAACACGGGCCCTCGGGTTCCTCGTCCAATCTCGCATGGTGCGCACACCTCAACATGCCCTAAAATAGCACCAGCCAAGGCAGGGGTTGCACTTGACTAATGTCACATTACGGAATATACTGGTCTGACA